CTTTCTTCTGATCATCAGTACCATCTTCTTTTTGACATGATTTGTGAAGCTCCTTCAGAATCTGGCCAGGGATGAGTAATTACTTTCATATAAACAACTAACTGCTATATGGTTTCTAAAAGAATACCTTGCAGCCACATCTACTAACATATATGCACTTAAATAAAATACCTTACTCATCCGTCCATATTCCCCAATGTCAAACCAAATTTTGCACAACTTCAGATTTGTTTTGAACCATAGTCTCTGCAGAAAAGAGGATTAGTGAATTTCTTCACAAAAAAATAAAGTTATAACAACAACAACAACAATAAATGCTGAAAGCCAAACGCAAAGAGGTACTTTACCTCATTCTTTGCCTCTTCAAGGGCCTTCAACGTCGTTTGATAGAACTCTTGTAGTAGACTAAAGTTTTGACCAGCAGATCCAGAAATAAAATCCATGATATTATTTATGCATTTCTCACTATAATTTCGAGTCACTGCGGATTTAATATAAGTCAACATGTCTCTGTAAGCATCCATCATTTCTTTGTATTTCCCAAGCTTATAGTAAAGCTTAACTGTTTGTTTCAAAGCTTTAAATCCCCTGAAGACATGAAGGAAGCATAATATCAATGACGGTGATCCATTCAAGTACAAGTTACCAAAGCACATGTCATATATAAATAAAAACAATAACTCAATAAGTGAATACCTGATTTCAGCCAAAAAACCTTATGCAATTATATGTTTCCTAATCAACCTGTAACATCTGCACCTCTACTAAATACATTCCACAAAGGAGAAGAAGTAATATACTAGCTTCAGAGACAATGCAAGTTATTGATTGACTAAGAAGCTTTGGCTGAGAACAAACCAGACATCATCCTAAATATCAACTCAGACTCAAAAACTTGTTTGTGATTCATGTTACATACAGCTCAGGAACAAACGGGGAGCTCTTGGTACATGTAGCCCTTAATGTGCAGATACAGATCACGGGCCAGAAACAATACTAGCCAAAAGCAAAGCCTCCTCAATGACTATATTCATTGGATTAACTTAACCATGCAGAGACATCACAACAATTCAGAAATTAATTGCATATTTTTATATGAAAATAGTGACGGTACAAAACAGACAAGTCAGACAATAGAACATAGACAAGGAAACGGAGAGCAATGAGGAAGGGAATTCCATATCAATGTTATCCTACTAAGAACACCGCACCACAGTACCGACTAATACTGTCATAATAAGCTCATAAAAGTTACCATTCAGCCTTCTCTGGTTCCATATGCACCACCTCTCCAAAACCTTCAAGTGCCGCTTCCGGATCTGTCTCAACCAAGCCTAAAGAAAAACCGCATATATCAAAAACACACATGACAAAACAAATGAAGTCTTTTCATTTAAAACCCTTCAAACTCGCAATTCAATTTCTCAAATAAAATCAATCAAATCATCAAGGACACTTTACGTAGTTATATGTTTAATCTCAGTCCAAATACAAACTTCTTCTGTTTTCAAAAATACTTGTATGAACGCAGTTCAATCATTCACTTATACATAAAATTATTCGTAAAAAAAGAAACAATGATTAAAATCAGACAAATATTGAAACCTTTAGAGTTGTAGTATTGATTCTCAATATCAACATCCTGTTCCTCAGGCTCATCGTCCGAGTACTCGAAACCATAATCCTCCATATCAGCATCTTCACCACATCGCAAAGTGAAAAATAAAAAATCAACGCATTATACAACCGGGTAAAAATACGAACACTGAAACATATAAAGAATCGTAGAAAACCGCTGGCAGTAGAGAGAGGCAGAATTACCGGAACCCATGGCTGGTTTCTCGCTCCAAGAAAAAGTCGAGATTTCGTGCAGAGAGAGAGAGAGAGACTGATGAAGTGTGGGATTTTCAGGGAGGAGAGCGTGAAAAGCTACCTTTTCCAAGTTTGGGCTATGGAGAAAATAACCTTATCTGGGCTTTTCAGATCTCCAATTAGATACTGGGTTACATGTAACTCGCAATCGGCCCAAACAGCTTGCTGTAAGGACAATCTTATTAGGTTATTTTCATTTATGCATTCCTATTCGAAACTAACTAGTGCGGCACTCGTGCGATGCACGAGCTAGTTTTATTAAGTTAAGTATTTGTCTCATTTTTGTTACATTTTTTGTTGTCATTTTACATTTCTTTTACCCCCCATATTAGGTCTTTTAGTTTTTTTTTTTAGTTCGTTTTGTAGTTTATTTCGTGGTTTGCTCTATTTTGGTATTTCTTTTGTTTCTCGTGAGTTTTTCCGGTTTTCTTTTATTTTTGGTGTGCAGATCGGAAGCCCCGTGAGGAATGGATTTAGCCCAAAAATTGATCGAGCAATCATGGTTGTGAAGATGGGTTCGTTGGCGACATATAGGAAGAAACGGAACTCAATTTCGAGCTCGGACGAGCCCGAACGGGCTCAAACAGCAAAGTCGCGCAAATCACTTTTTTGGTGTGCATGTCATAAGCTTTGGGAGGACAGGTTTTCAAGAAAATATTTGATAGGTTTGCATAGTTAGATAGAGGGATTCGTTAGCGACGGATAGAAAAAAACGGAACTCAATTCCGAGTTCAATCGAACCCGAACGAGCAAAAATTGTAAAGTCGTGCAGTGCAGCCCAGTTTTCTTCGCAGCGGCCGCGGCGAACATAAACTGCCAGCGCCCAACCTTCAGCGGAAAAATGTCGCGACCTCGAGAATAGTCGCGGCCGCGGAGCTGTTGTTCACCGCGGCCAGCGGGAAGCTCCGCGGCCGCGGAGGACGCAAAAAACAGTTGTTTAAATAGCAGATTTCTTAGACGATGGAGGGATTATTCTCTCCCCTTTTGGGAGATGAACTCTAGCCCGTAGAAAGCACAAAAATCTCCTTCTCCTTCCTTCTCTTTTCTTCATCTT